GAAAAAAAAAATCACTATTAATAGATTTTAAAAATAAAAATAGTTTATTTCCGGATGTTCAACAAAGAAAAAAAAATGAACTTCTAGATATCTAATTAAAAAATGCCTTTGAATAAGATTAAAGCTAAAATTAATTAAGCTTATGTTAATTGAGTTATGTTGACATACACATGTATGTATTTTTAACTATCCATTCAAACGTTTCTTTAACAAATTTAATTTCAGTTTCGAATTCTTTGGGATCTTCTTTCATGTACTGCTTGTTGGGATCATTTTCGTCAGATGCAAACAAATTCTCAAGAAAATTTAATGTTTGAATATACTTGGTCTAATTATCATTTGTGATATTTCGTCTAATATCGTTTGGTATGTCGTACCAAGAACGTTGTTGCATAACCTTAGAATTTCCTGAACAAGAATTGGTACCTCCTGTGTTTCGTAGAACAGGTTTCCGAATAACGTGAAAAAATTATCAATAATTTCAAACATAAACAGAAATGTTCTATCGTTAGAAACATGTTTATATTCGTCGATAATTTCTTGTAGTTTTTCGATATTGTCCTCGTAGTAGTGTTTTATATATTGATTGTTTTCCGATCAAGGGGGTATCTTGATCAACTCCTTAAAGGACCCAATGCTAAAGATAGTATACATACTTTGTATTTGTCACTCTTGTTATTGTCATACTCATAATACTGTTGTTCTATAGTAAGTTCAGATTGGGTATCATAAAAACATTTGATAAATTGTTCACGGATATCTTTATAGGTATCCTTGGTAATGAATTGGATGTTTGACATTGTTTGAATGAATATTGTGTATAGGGAAAAAAATATCGTATTTATTCATGAATTTCAGATATGTATTTCTATATTGGAATGAGATTGACATTAGATACTAATACCTCTTATTATAAATAGAAGATGAAACTAGCCTTGATTAACTAGTAGCTAATGTTTATCGGAGAATAAAAAATATTATAAATTTATTAAAATAAAGTAGTCAAAATCGACTACTTATCAAAAAAAAACTATAACAGATCTCAGATCATTTGATAATACAACACTGTTAAAAATCACGGATATTATTGCTAATGTTGTCAGACAAGGATTCTCTAGATCAACAAGGATTACGAAGATGTATGAAGAAATAATCAGGTTGGGTTGTAAAAAAGACTATTACATCATTGTTGTTGACTTGAGAAGCATGCAAGAAAAATCCTTGGACATGGTAGTATAGCAATCAATATTAAGAAAAATCTCTGGTCTATATAGTACATTAGATGATGAGAATCCAAATAAATTATACGCAAACAGTATATTGGATAGCTTTGATAATGGTGATATAAAAACTTATGGGCATGTTTCGTCACTAGAATTCTCTTTGTGTGTTTAATATTTAAAGTCTAAGGAGTAGCTTGATGTGTTTTGATAGATACTGTAAACCAAGCGGGTTTAATCAGTCAATTAAAATTTATATCAATCGTTGTAATAGAAAATAAATTTTTATTATACATTTTTTTTATTTTTTTATTTTTTTTTGGATCTGCTAGCTAACCCATATGTTTTGATAATGATCGATCAGATGATAAACATATTACATTTATTTCACTTCACTAATTATTATTTGCTATACGTTATTATTCGTGTTTAGATGGTGGGATGAGTTTTTGTCATAAATCCAGGACCAATAATATTTAAGATATAAAAAAATAACTGATGCCAGTGAAAATCATAACAATAGATTTGAGTCAATGATATCCTATGTTTCGTATATTGGATAGGTGTTTGGTTGATTTCCAATGTCATACAATGAGGTAGTTCTATTAGACACACGAATTCCAATCTATCCTTACAAACCACTTGATCTGGTGGGTTAATTTGTTGATCACATCAACAATCACCTGGTCCGATGCTATTTGTTTTGATGTTTGGCCATATTGGGAATGAGGTGTTTGTAGTTAATGCGGTATCTAGTATTAGTAATATATTAATCGTTAGAATATATTATTTGACATTAGGGTCTTTAATCTATAGTTACCTAGATAGCAAATCATTTATGTAATAAATAACCAATAGATAAAATGACCCAAAATTCGTTTCATATTGATTGTTTTTTTTCCATTGCAAATTAAACTCCCGTCTTTTATAATTTATTAATTATGCAGTAGTTCCAATATCAATATCTGATTACTACTGGTTTACTTCCTGAAAAAAACTAATCAAAATCTATAAATATCTACATTTGGTCAAATATAATCGAATAGAGGTACAGATTATTTGATTGATAATACCAAATCGCATATTATGACAGAGATAACTAATAAAAATAGTGGTGTGTCCCAATCAAAAAAACGAAAACACTCGACCATAGATGTAGAACTTGAAGATCTTGATGATGAAAAATCAGAACTACAGAAAATTTTGAAAGATTTGTTTTATGACGGAGGTGTTTCTGAAGAAGACATATTGAAGATTGTGTTCAAAAGTAAACTCACGAAAAGATTTAAAATTGATTTGGAAGAAACTATTTCGAATTTAGCTGTTTTTATCAGTAGAGTTAACGGTATTGTTAGATCGAAACAAATAACCAAAGATAATGCTCAGAAACAACTACTTTCTGAATGTTCAATTCATTTAAATGAAATATTAAAGATTTTTTTTTTTTTTTTTTTTTT